GACGGGAGGGCTAGAGACATGGAGGATGGATGGATGGATTCAATACATCCAGAGAACAGATTGCAACTATTCCACGTCCTGTTTAGGTCTGGTTTGGTAGTATCACGCCAGATTGTTGGCTGGCATAAACTAGCATAGCTTTGCCAAAAAAAAATAAATAAATAAAAAAAATCAAGGGACGCTCCCAAGTTATATCAGCTGAGAATCTGGCACAATAGTTATGCGGCTCCCGAGCACCCCAGCAGTCTTTCCTGCCCAGAGCAGGGGAGCTGGACCTGATGATCATCTCACAGGCCCGAATGACGCCCAAAACTCCTGTGAAAATATTATTTAGAAACTGAGATGCCAATACCAGTCAAGGCGTGATCAGGATGTATTCAGGGGGTATTGGGATTCCTTAGTGCCCAGCCCTCCCCCACTTTGCAGTGAATTAATTTACAGGCTGATCCTGCTGCCATTAAGATCAATGACAAACCTCCCAATAACCTCACTAAAAGCAGGCTCGTGATCTTTTTTGATAGCGGCTGTCAAGCTTGCCAGTGCTGAATGCCTCAGAGAAGCCGTCCTTTTATACCAGAAGACACTGGCACCTTAGCAAGTATGTAGGAAGCCGTACATCATCTGTCAGGCCCTATCACTCCACTTGGACACAGCTGAGTTCTTGCAACTGGCAGCCCAGGGAGATTATCAGAGTCTTGGGCCCTGGGGACAGCACTGAAAAGCTCTCTTGATCTCAGGTTTCAGAGGGCAGAGCTCTCCACAGCTCTGTGCAATGGGGCAAGATATCTGAAAATCCCCCTCTTTGCCATCCATTGTCAGTTTGTGGTGTTATTTGCCTCCCAGGGAAGAGGTGGGGTCTTGCATCAAGACAACACACCTGAGAGTTCCTCCAAGTTTTCCCTTTATTGTTTTCTTCATTCAATTAGAAGACAGAAGTTCTATTTTTTTGCAAATATTTTTCAGGTTTTCATCATAAAGCCACAAATCGGTTCTACAGGGGAGATCTGGGGGGGCTGAAAACTGAAACAGAAAATGTTTGAGGGCTGTTGGGAGGTGTTCAATAGAAACATAAACAATGTTTAAGATATTGATGCAAATAGATTTCCTGGCAGAAACTATGTTCCTAATGAGAAGAAAAATCATTTCTTGGCCAAGCCCTAGATTAAGAAACACACATCAAACCCTTCATTAGCAAGAATTCCTTGCACAACCGTAAATTAATTGCTTCTTTGCTCTTCACCAGCCTGCCTAACCAACAGATAGAAATAGCCTCTAGGGATTCATTTCCCCTAGGGAAGAGGGGCCAATTTAGCCCTGACATTGCTAAGTTTTATTCAATTTGGATTAATGTAGTGGCAGTCATTTATACTGAACCAGAATTTGGTCCACAGCACGGTCCAATGTTGCTCCTACACGATGGTCAAAGAGGTGATTTTTCCAAATGAGATCACATTTCACTGACACGCCAGTTGTGGAACTGGCTGGTGAATGGAAACCCATTTTCTACTGAAAGGTTAAATTTTCCAACCAGCTTATTGTTTCTGCTTCTGTGATGCCTTTACATCCTAGAAGCAGCACACATTGCCTTTATATGCTTAATACCTTGTGAAGTCTTCTTCACCTTTCATTAACCAAAGCTAAATTAAGTCTATTGATGTCAGTGGGGTTCACCCCCATGTGAAGCTAATGTGAATTTTTTATTTATTTATTTATTTTTAAATAGAAAGAAAAGAGAGAGAGACAACCAAAACAATTATTTTTTCTTGTTTTCGTTCAAATAATTTTGGGGGTTTTCACTAAGAAAGGCAAACACCTAAAAACTGTAAGCATCTATATATACTTGGACATACTCATTTTTAACCACTAAAAATGCATAGTCAAACAGCTAAGGAAATCTTTGCTTTGACTAAAATATTTGCTCAGCTGGATGATTTTTTTTCCCCCAGTTTTGTTGTTGTCAAAAAGCTAAATACAAGAACGGTTTCCAAATTATTCACACTGAAAAATGTACATTATCACAGAAATTTCCATTTTTTTCAGAGTGATTTTTCCAGAAACAAAAAGGTAATCAGTTCAAGTGACATCACACCGATGTACATGTGCACACAGAGGTGTTGCTCCTCTCCCCTTTCTGCTCCTTCACCCACTCTTAGCTGCATGCCCTTACTTGCGCTCTTCCCCATGCTTGAGAAGTCCCTCCATGCTGGTCTGTACAGTAACCAAACTTCCTTCTTTAAATCGTCCCTTAGAAATAATTTCTTCCAAGAGCCTCCCCACACATCGACTTCTTACTCTCCCCCAGTGTGCAAAATTTGAGGAAAGGACTATCCTTTATCCTGCCTATAAAGCAAAAGTGTGCACTGGCAACTCTAGTTAGCAGTAATGAAAAACCAAGCTTCACTTCCCTTCGCTATCTGCTCTCAGGCCTTGCCACTGCTTTTCAGATGCTTCTCCAAAAACTATTCCTTTGGCTTGAACAGCAAGAAGAGAAAGGGTGTCACTAGCGCTTTTGCAATATAGTTGAGGGTGGATTGATGATTTAGACTTTTTTTAAACAAGCAAATGATGCTTTCCTCTTCTCCTGAGGTCACCCTCATACAGTTAGACCCAAGAGCACAAGCCACGATCCCTTCTTTTTCTCCCCCTGAAACATACTTTTAGTGAATTTAGTGTGGATGAATAAGACCAGGCTCAGAGAACCCAAAGACTGCAGCCCTCCCTCCATCTACGGCCCTGCAGGAACACAGGAAGAGGTGAAGGACAATCTTGTGGCTAAAAGTACTGGAGAGAGTCAAGAGACCGATTCCCAGCTCTGCCGCAGTCTTGGAGAAACCTCTTAATTGACTGTCTGTCAGGATGGGGATAATGATGTGACAAAGGGCCGTACAGCTTGCTTCACTCGTGACATTTTAGCTTGTAAACTGCAGGGACCGTCTCTCACTCTGGGGCTGTTGAGTGCCTAGCGCGATGGGGTCTCCAGAGCCCACTGGAATGCAAATAATGATTTATAAAGCTCTTGGGGACTCTTGGGCGAGAGTTGTTACAGCAATGCTAGGACATAGGGCTCTGCTCATCTGGGGCAAGAGCTTAGTTCAGTCTCTCTGATAAAGCACAGCATTTTTGAGAAGACTCAGCAGTCTGAGTGGGGAATCACAACTCCCCCTCTCCTTTTCCTCCCCCTTGCCCTGTGCTAGAGTAAGCAGCACTCCCCGCATGTCCCCTGCTGCCGGGGCTGGCTCCCACTGCCATTTGTATCTGCTTGGCTGGTGAGAGCGTGCAAGCAGCGGGCTGTAGCAAGAGCATAGCAGCAGTTCTGCACTGTGGACTCAGCATGACCCTCCCAAGACTTTAGCACCTATCCACGCGGCCTGGAGAAGACCACACACTGCCTGAGTCTCTCAGGCACCCCCAAACTGCCAAGACACAAGGACCTAGTGCCAAGGGGCTGAGCAGCTTGCACTTCTGCTGCAGACTTTTCAGCATGGCTGAGCTGCCTGGCCCTCCAGCTCATGTGCCCCAAAGGAAACCCAGCACTAAGAGCCACTCCAGTGGCAAAGACCTTTATTCTCAAGCACTTTGTACAACAATTGACTGTGGTGGCATGGGGAAATGCACGGGGTACAGCAGGCTGGATAATCACTCTACTGATGCTCCCGTGCCTCTTACAACTCGACCTCAGATTCTGCGCTGTGGACCTGTGTGAGCCTCACAAGACAGGCCCGTGCCCTCCAGCATCTCTCCTGCCCTCCTGCCTCCACGATCCCATGGCAGGTTTCGGACCTGCCTCCCTCCTTCCTGTCCACCACCTCGCTCCGAGTCACTAGCGCCCACCACGCTCTGCCCAGGAGGAGACCTTGGCATCGCTCACACCTGTCCCCAGGTGCTTCGAGGGGGACCCAGGCACCACAGCCCATGCATGGCCCTGATGCGAGATCTCACAGAGCCATCTGCCTGCCAGAGCGATCTGGCAAGTGGACCGGAGGGCGAGGTTCGCTCACAGCGTGGCCGAGCCCCGGGAGATCCAGGCACTGCCTCACGGGTAAGCCTCCTCGGAGGCCGCAGGACTGCAGATCCCTTACTCCAGAGGCCTCATCTTTAGTAAGCACAAACCCATTCATTCTTCTCTCTCAATCTAAACCCTTATCTTCTTTTTTTTTTTTTTAATCTTCTGCCTCCCTTTCCCTTCCACACCTCATACTTTCTTCTCTTACCCTTTCATCTCTCCACTTTTGCTATTCTGTGTCCTCCCCTCTCCTGCAACCCACTCCTTTTTCACTTCATTTTCCTCTTCTATCCTTCAGCCACTTCTTTTCCCTTCCCCCTTTCTCCATCCCCACTTCCTTTGTCTCTTACTTTCTGCCCTCTATTATTTCCTCTTTTCTCCTCTCCACATTTCACTACCTTCCTCTCCTCCATTCCTCTTTCCCCCTTTTCTATCCCTTTCTCCTGCAGCTCCCTCCCCCTTGCACTTGAACACATCTGTTTCTAATCTGAGTTGTCTACAGCTTCTATTGGAAGCAATAAGCTCTTTTTTTAAAACATAAAAACAAAAAAAGAGCTGAAATTAAAAATTCCTGGCCAAAAAAAAATAAAATAAAATATTAATTTAAGCAACTGTGACCAACTCCTGGCAACAAAGATACTTTGTTCACCTTTATTTTGCCAAAATGGTTCGAGCCCCTAGAGACTTCACCGCTCATAACTGCTGGATCTTAGGGGGGGGAGAGCCCAAAACAAGAAGAGTTTCTCTCCTATGGCTGAGGTTTGAACAACATGTTTTAAAAGGGGGAGAAATTAGTCTTAAAAATTCTTCTGTTCTCTAACCTGGCAATAATTAAATCAACCACAAAAAATAAAGGAAAACTAAACCAGACCAACTCTGAGCACAGACAAGTTTTTTCTTTCCAAGCGTCTCTCCTTTGCTAGTCACTGTTGCATTCGCTGTTGCCCAGAGAAAACAAGAGTAACTTTGATTTTCGAAAAAAAGTGAGCACACTCACCTAGAAAGAGGATGGAAAGTGCAGACATGCCGCTTCAGGAGAGAGTGAGAGATTTTTCCTCCCTTTTTTCGTCCTTTCTCCCAGGAATGGCAGGCAGACCTGCACAGCATTCAAAGGAACGCCTCTGGAATGCACTGAGCGTAATTGCATCCATGCGCCAGAGAAATAACCAACTTTGCTCTTTCTTCCCTTCTGTTATTCATCTCCTTTCCAGTTTCCATGCAGATTCAATAGGAGCTTTTTAGATCTCTGTCGGATCGTTCAGGCCTTTTCATCCCTGGAAAAGAAGAAAAAAAAAAAAAAAGGCAGTGCAGTGGGGAGTTCACATCTATGGCAGCATGGAACAATTTTGCATGTCTGTAAAGACAAGGAGAGAAGAGGAGGGGGAAAAAAAATGCACTGTGCACAATGTTAACCACATGGCTGCTTCCCAGAACAGCCCCTCCCTACCATCAACTGGGATTAGCAGCAAAAACCAGTCATGTGGGTGATATGTTACTTACTCCTGGCAATAATACATCTTTACCTTCTAAGGGGGAAGAACGGGAATCTTCTGAGTGTCAAGATAGAAAAGTTTGGAGGCAGGAAAGCTTCAGCATGGGAGGGGGGAAGTCCATCCTCATCATTCAGGGATAAGAAACACAGACTGTCTTGGAAAGAATACACACGCTAGATAAATAGTCAGCTTCCCGCATATATACAGGCTTTGCTGTCATGTGGAGAAGGGGAGCTGCAGAATGTAGCTTTGCTACAGGGTGCTCCCAGCTTGTGTTTCTCTTCTTGAGATCAAAAGACTAATTCCAGCAGAGGAAGAGGAGAAAAGCACCAGGGGGAAAACAGAGCCATGGGTGAACTCCTTCCCTGCTCTGAGGACTACAGAGGGCAGGACAGAAGGGGTAATAACTGCAGCTGGGGTACGTTTGCACTGCAGTTACAGCTGAGTGCTGCCCACCTGGAGAGTTGGCTCAGGCCCTGTGGCTGGTGAAGCACAGGGCCCCACCTGAACCAGCTTCCCCTGAGGTTTATTCACCTTCTCAGGTAGTTTCACAGCCTGTTCTGGGCTCCAGGCTACTCTCCCCACATTGCTGTCGGGATCTAAATAGCTGGATTCATGGTGGCTTGGGCTGCAAGGACTGCTGCTGATCTGCTGACTTTAGTGGGGCTTCATGTAGGAACATGGATCTGCCTTTTTTGTTTCAAGTCAAATCAGCCAGATCAAATCCAAATCTCTAGGTCAGTCCAGAACCATAAGTGGCCCTGCATCCAGCAAATATCCTCCACCCCACCTGGGACATCAGATGTTTCCAAATCCTTTGGCAGGCATCCTACTTGCAGGCCCAGGCCCGGAGGCTTGGGGTTCGGATGACCCCAAGTTTTGCTCGCCCTCGGCCATACAGCTGCAGGAGCAAGCTGGGGAGGAGTCTGCCATTTCCATAAAGTGGGCATAAAACTACATTACCCCTGTGGGCACTACCCCATGCCAGGAAACCTGTTATCCTCAGGTGCAACTAGGACACCGCATTGGTAGTCACGGTGTTTCCCCTGCCAGGTATGGGTCTGCCTCTGAATCTACCTGCAGGACCAGATCTTTAAGAGGAGAACAAATATAGACATGGTAAGGATGAAGGCCATGCAATCCAGGTATGCAGTTAGCCATTGCCATGGCACCTGAATGCCTAGAGTGGGAGAGAGATTAAAAAATTTAAAAGGTTTTCTCCCTTGTTGCCTGCATTTAAATTACCATCTCTAGTAGGGGCCAATGTCCTTGCTAGTTGAGGCTCTGTTTCACCAATGCTGCAGCCAGGCTTTTATTCATGTGGTAAAGCTACATTTCAACGACAATGCCTGAAAGCAGACAGTGAAAGAAGAGTGATGTGCTAGGTACTCCCCCATTCATTTTCCCCCAAACCAGCATTCAGTCTCCACTGATCTGCTAGAATGGGAAAATGCCTAAAGACTGGAAACAAAGTCAGCTCCTTCCTTGTTCCAGCAACACCAATACCTGGCCCTTCCATGCACAGATTCTCCATTCCTCCCCATGAGTGTTGGGTCTTCCCTGCCACCTAGCTACAGAAAAAGGGTCTCCCTAGTCCCCTCACCCCTTCTTCCCCCTCCCTTCTCTGCTTCACCTTTTGTCTTCCTTATTTTTACCTATTTACATTTTCACTGACATCCTACCACAGCTTTCAGCTTTTCTCATTCCTTGGAGTCGCAGACCAGCAGAGACTCCTCATGCCTGTTGAAGGGCGACTGCGACCGAAAGGCGACCAAAAGCTTGCTAAGAACTTTTTCCCAACAACTCAGTCGGTCTAATAAAAGATATAGCCTTGCCTGAAACCAGGAGACACCATGGAATGCAAGTCCAGGCATCTCAACATATGGGTTTTGGGTCAAGATCTCAAAAGTGCCTCAGGACTGATGCGCCAAAGACTCATTGGAAAAGGTGGCTAAAGTGAGGACCGCAGTGGAGTCCAGAAGTGACCGTAGTGTGACAGCCTGCAAAACCAAGCTGAGAAGCAGGGTAAATTAGGGCTGGTCCCAGGACTAGTCTACAGCTAGCTTGGATGTCCTGCATTACACAGTGATATGGCCATCACTGCTGTGACTGCAGCGTAGATGTGTGCTCTGCAGATCAAAGCTGCAGACAAAGCAGAGCCCCGCAAGCGCTTTCAAAAACGGTACTCTGTCTTTGCTGGAAGGTATCTGCTGTGGTTGCCATACAAAGCTTTTTAGTGCTGGACTGAGAGCAGGTGGATGTTAATCACCATTGCACACACAAAAAAGCTATGAAAATGGTGTTTACATGTGTGCATGTGACCCACAGCTCCCATTTGCAGCACCTTTGATGCATACGGTGCATCTACACTGCAGCCAGAGAGGCGATTGCAGCTGAAGCAAGCTAGTTTTAAATTAACTAGCTTAGGTATTACTAATAATAGTGTAAGTCAGGCAGCACAGAGCTCAGCACATTAACTGGGGGACATAGGTAAAACTGAGGCAATTAGCTTGCTTTGAGCTCCTTACTACCCTGGCTATCCTGCTATTGTTGCCAAACTAATTAATATAAAGCGAGATTGCAGCTCATGTTGGCAGACGCAGTCACAGACACACACAAATAGAAACTGCTTTTATCACCACTGTGATGTAGTCATCTGTGAAGCAGCATCGGCATTCGACACACTGCACAGCACAAAATTGAGGGAAAACATGGGGAAAAGCACTGGGTAAATGTTGCTCTTCAGAAAGTGCCATCAATTTACATGATGCATGAGACAAAGAATAGGTGGACACGGTTAAGATGCTGGCATCCTTCTCCAGACCTGGGAGGTTGATTGCCTTACTTGGTCGTAAAGTTCCTTTGCGATTTTGGCCAGGTCATTTAGTCTTATCTGTAAAAATGGGCAAGATCAGCGATAGTGGGTATCGGGTTTATAAATACGATGAAAATTGTCAGGTTTGTAAGCCCCTTCAGACAGGTCGTTGGTTCTGTATTTGTACATGGTGTAACCGGAGGGAGGTCAGGGTCGCCGTGCACTCCCCTGTCGCCTCCCTTACCGTGTCTTGTTGCTGCCTGGCACCCTCCAATTCTTGCTCGCCATGACTTTGATCTATCTATCTATCTAATAGGGAGGCTGCCTTTCACCTTCTGGTACACGGTTGTCCTCTTATCTTTGTCCTCTAGCCTTATTATGGGCTATGCATGGCTCCTACCACCCCAATACCATGCCCCAAGCCTCGCAGATGTCACGGATTTTATTCCGTCCCTCTTTCTCTCTCCGCGCCCACTCTCCGGGGCTCTCTCTCTCTCAGTACAGCCGCCCTTCTCTCCGGGGCTCTCTCTATAATGCTGCCTCGTCTCAGGGTCTTCTCAATGACGCCACCTTCTCCGGGGCTCACCACGCCCGCACTGGGGCCTCTGCAACGCTGCCCTTCTCTGGGCTGGGGTCTATGCACCCCAAATGCTGCACCCTCACTGGCGCTGGGGTCCCCACTCTACTGTGAGTCCCCTATGAGGCCTCCTCCATCCCCTAATAGCCTCTCCCAAACCACCGGTCTAACAAAATAGCAACACAAACACAAGCCTCTTGGCTAAGCCTCTTGGCTATACCCTAAACAGAAGCCGCCCGGCCATAACAACGTTGAGTCCTACCAGGGATCCTCTCTCTCTGCAGTATAAAATGCAGCTTCTAACTCAGGCCTCTCCTTTGTAACATGGCTGAGAGCTCCCTCCTCTTTGGCTGCTGGTAGCAAACTGCCTCCTGGTCGCCTGCCTGGGATTTATATAGGAGCCCGGCCCTGCCCCTTCTCGTCAGCTGGCTAGGCAGGTGCAGGTCATTAGCTCCCCCTAGTTGCCTCAGTAGCCGGCACCTGAGGAGTCTTCCCGGCTCTCCCAGCAGCAGGTACCTTAGTGCCCCACTACACACCTCCCCGCTTAAGATTTCAACTCACCAGGCCATCTTGGTTTTTTTTTCTGCTGCGCATCTTCTGTCTTTTCCGCTCGTGCTTTTAGGCTGGCCCACCGACACTTCCGACGCGTGGAGGCGGAGGTTTTCAGGCGCCTCCTACTCGCCTTTTACCCAAGGCGCACCATGTGGGATTTTACGGCAGTCCCCCCTCACACTAGCCGACTTTGGTACAGTGCAGTCCCTGTCAATCGGGCTCCCACCTCCCTTTTGGGGTTTCTTCTCCCTCTTGCTTCTGGCCTGTCTACCTTCCACCCCTGAATACCTTAGTCTCTTTCTCCAGGTAGGTTGTGTGGTCTCTGGCTTTCCTAAGGCTCTCTGGAGCCCCTGAAGCCTTTCCCAGATCTCCCACGCTCTTTCCAATGCCTTCCGGGCATACTCTTCCCTCCAAAACTCTATCTTCCTGTGGCCGGTAGGTCTTCCTTTAGGCCCTTTATAAGTTTTTACATAGGCCACACCTCCGACTGTTGCTTCAATGAGTTCCCTTAATATCCACCACCGGACCCGTTTCGGGATGTTATTTATATATACTTGTGGTCTTCTCTCAAGCTTTGGTCCGTCTTCGGGTGGTCGTTCCCACCTCCATATCTCTGGCTCCTGGACCTGGCTTTCTTTTCTGGGTTTCACTGACCCCTTTTTCCCGGGACTCATCTCTGACTCCTTTTGTCTCAGGCCTTGTGTCCCTTGTGTACTGCCATGGCTAGCCCGCCGACAAGTCTTGCTCCTTGGGCTAGCCTGCTCACTTTCCCTGCCGTCCCTGCAGTTATCGTATCTCCTTCTACTAGCTGTCTCTGCCTGGGTCCTGCAATTCCTTTTTCGGCTTGAGGTTTACAGAGCTCACCCAGCTGATGTCTTAGATGGCTCATCTCCCCTGCATGAAGCTTCTCCCATTGGTCCCATCTCCTATTCAGCACTCCAAGAG